CAGCCGACCATAAAGCCCCAGGCATCGTCAACCCAGGTCCTGGCGTGGTGGATAAAAGATGCACTGATTGGCATGAAGACAGTCATCTCCGCCAACGAGTTGTTGACTTGGGCAATTACGCAGGCTTGCAAAGCAAATGCTACCAACAGGCTGCCTGCTCCACGCATAAGACCATACCCGATGCTAACGAAAAGGGCCGTTCCGATCGAGCCTCCGATTGCCACGAATTGGACTTGGCGTGGAGTGAGATGGCGTTGCAGGTGTTCGGGATTGTGGATAATCTCGCCGCTTCCCACTTCACTCGCGCCGCTGTCTTTCTTCAGCTCAGTCATCTTTGCGGACAGCTTTGACTCAGAGTAGGCCAGGGCTGCGCTCATGATGTGTGCTTCCGAAGTTGTCTGGCTTTAATGAGGTGAAGATGTTCGTAAACTGATACCAATGGGAAAGGAAGATATGTGTAGTAGTGGATTGAAAATTCGATGACGAGTGGAAAGTTTCGCGGACAGGTCAATGTTTAAAACTTGCCAAAATACATGTAGAGGCCAAATCAAGGTTAATTATCATTGCAACGTCGGCGTCGCGTATACGCACTGAAAACAGCAGGACTAGCCTATCCAAGGACTTCGCAACAATCCCGGTCGCCTTCATCGGTTCGTAAGGGTCGGATGGCATTCAGCCCCCCGACCTCTAACCCGAGATGGGATAGGTTCAGCTGACAGCTTGAGCAGTCGATCACATGGTTCATCCAGTAAGGTTCCGCCCTGCTTTCTTGATCTATTACGAGGATATCAAGCTAGAAAGTGAGGGCCCCTTCGGGCTCAGGACCAATCAGCTGCTTGACATTACGTCTGCACAAAGCCGAGACACCGGACAGCTGGAGGCGATCATCTGGGGTAGAGGCGCCAAGACGGGCGACACTATGACACACTTCTTGGTAGGAGAAGTTGGCAAAAGCACCAAAGAATCCAGTATGTGGCGCCTATGGCTTTAAGATGCAATACCTTACGTTGGGTGAAGCCGAAGCGAGTCGGTTCAGCCTCCGAAGTGAATCTCGGATGCGTTCTTGCAGGGATCGGGAGAGGGATCTCGGGTCTGATAGAACCGGGCGCCCGACTACAGTGGGGTCCAATCTCAACAGGAGGCTCGGAACACAAGATAAGACTATGACAACGGGACTGATTTCATTCGTCAGTTGTTTTGAAGTTTCGGGTTGTCATGTTGCGTTCCAGATAAGGTACGAACCTCGCCGATGGTCAACGTAGATCCCGAGGTGCTACTGGCGTTCCGGGCATCAACCATTGGTCTTCAGTCGGCTTATCAGAAAAGGTATTGGGAAAGCAGAAGAATCCTTGAGTTTTGTGCATGTTCAAATGTTTTTGAGACTTATATAGCTTGAGGGCATTGTTACTCTCAAGACCATGAGATAATAGAAATCATCAAAGCGCCTCTCTTATCAAATATCGCGTCACTATCCTACGCCCTTGACTTTTGATCGCGGCTTATTTCACTAAGGTTTCACTTTTTTACCAATAAAATAATGCAGGAATCCGAACTTCAACAAATCTCTGAAGCTCTTAGAGCTGCTCGTATAAGCCGAGAACCCATCGACCCGCCCGCCAAGACCTGGGGAAGCCTCGATCCCGACAGCGCCTTTGAAGTCCAAAAAGTAACCGTCAAGAATGCGGTCAGCAAGTACGGCGACCGTCTTGTGGGGTACAAGCTAGGAAATATTGCGAAAGTCATGCAAGATGCTTTCGGACTCGATCAGCCAGACTACGGTTTTCTTCTTGCGAGTACATTCATCTACGAAGGCACTACATTACCGCGGAAGGATTACATCAAGCCATTTGTTGAGCTCGAACCAGCGTTTGTGCTGAAGGGTCATCTGAAGGGACCGAATGTTACCGTGGCCGATGTCATCAACGCCATAGACTACGCCATACCCGCCATCAATCATTGACTCAAGGGTGAAAAATTGGGCCATAGACTTGGCGGATACTCTAGCAGACAATGGCTCTACTGGAACTGTGATTCTCGGTGGCACCCCTCGGCGGCTTACTGACCTCACCCTGAGCAACACTCGAGGAGTTCTTCGTTTCAATGACCGAGAGGTTATGACTGGCAACACCCGGAACGTACTTGGTAACCCCATCTCAGCTGTTGCTTGGCTAGTCAACAAGCTTTCTAAGTATGATGTCGAGTTCAACCCAGGCCAAGTCATCTTGCCTGGTAGTTGTCTACAAGCAGTTCCGATGGAGGATGTGGGTCATTGGTCTTGCACCTTCGAAGGCTGGGGTACTATTGAGTTTGACGTAGTTTGAACTAGATTTGCTCCAGCAGGAGCTGAGAACTAACCTGAATGGGTATCCAGAGACAAATATTTAGAAAACCCAACCAAGAGACGTCTGCATTCCTCAACCTGCCGTTGTAATCTGAATAACCCACAAGCAAAAGCCTTGAAATAGCCCATGATATTGCATCTTATCCTAGAAGATACTGATTTTGCGTGTATCCATGTGCCCGTGGCTGACACTTCTCGTCCGTGATAGACCCCCACCAACTTCCGGATCCATATTTTGCCCATACTTCCTCGAACAAAGCGGCAGCTGTCAAGAACATGTCATACCTTGTCTTATCATTCCACCACTCGCAATACTGCTTCGCCTGTTCTCTCAGCTCCAGATTCGTTGTTTCACACCCTGCCAAGAATGTTGGGAGCAGGAGTTGTTTTTGCAGCATGGTGCCTCGCCGGCACGAGCTCACATGGTTGAGAGCTTTTCGGGCCAGCAAACCTAAAACTGGAAGGGAAGTAGATTTCCGGTCCCATTTGAATACTTTCTCAATGTAAAGAAGCAGAGCATATCTCCACGCTTCGGCGCAGTGGTGTAAATCTTGCTTGTATTTCAATGCTTCTTCAATCTCCTGCTGATCCACGTTTTGGGAGTCATCGTTCTCCAAAGTTTCGATATCAATGCAGTCCGAATACGCCGGTGCCCTCCAGTGTTTGATAGCTTGCTCCACCAACAGAGCAGGACCTGTATCAAATGTGACGCATGTCATCGTGGTGGCGAGCTCGAATTCTCTTGCGTACATTGCTAGACGTGTCATGTATCCAAATAGCTCTTCAGGACAGCCAGATACGTTGTAGAATGCCTTTTCATTATCGGGAGTCTGATAGTGAAGATTGGAATAATATTTGTGAGGTAAAACGCAACCCTTTCGTGTTGTCAGAGCTAAAGTCACGTCCCACCTGAGGTAAGTATTAGCACCTGCTCACACTTGTAACAGAGAACATGATTTACCAAATGAGCATTGAAATCTGAGCCTCTACTCTAGGCGTTCTTTGTCCTCCGGACTTATCAAATGTTGTGAGAACCCGATGTGCAGCGTGAAGCTGCGACGTCCACGAGCCATACGCGGACAAAGAGCACTTTGGACGGTCAGTTGATGATCTGAGAAACGCCGTATTCGGCAAAACGTACATTGAGAGTGAATAAAATGAGGAGCGCTTCAAGGAGACCGTTCTCAGCAGCCTGAGTATGTCCACTCCTTTGCCTCTCTTCAAGCATTTTTAAAGCAGTCGTTTTGTGCTGGCTAGCTTCTCTTCCACACTTCCCTGTGACTCTATTGATATGTCGATAGGATAATGCGAGAATCGAGTGGAGGAGAATATCGGATTTCTTTCACTTCAAGGACCCGCATCTGAAAGGGTTGGCGTCAAAATCAGATGTCAGTGGGAGTACGCAGAACTCTTGGTCGTCTACCTGGTTGGTCAGCTATGTAGCATTAATCGAGATAGGTATAAATACACTGAAGCAAAAGGTCATCGAGTGTACTAGTCACCTCGTTTGGTGAAGGTATCTTCGGCGATTCGATGGTCCTCGATGCACGGTGCATCGAGATCATGGCGGGGTCAACTTGGCTTGAGATACCTTGTATCTGGTCATCTCTTTGTGATTCGAGATTCTCGGAGGCGTCAGTGCCTGATGGACTACAGGAGGAAAAGTCATCGACTCCAGCAAGGCCATCTAGGGTCTCCAGGAATGGTGTCAACAGTGAAGAAAATTCCATGGAGTCGAATTCGTAGCCCGTGAACTGCCCGTTGGCTCCCCAGAAAGGATCAACATTCGACACTGGCAGGGCTTGCATGGGCAAGGTCGCGTCAATTCCAGGCACCTGTGATGACAAAGGCGTAGTTGGAGGTAGAGTGGTACCAAAAAGCCCTGATGGCTCTGAAGACGCTGCTTCGTTCATACTCATGGGCTGTGGCGTCCGAGAACCAGATTCATCCTCGGGTCTTACAGTAATGCAATCCTGCGACTGCCCCTCTGCCTGGGCATTAAAATTAGCTGCAGAATGTAGATCGTCGTTCGTGACATCAGGCAATTCTGGATGATCTCGAGAATGGTCGTTCAAATTACGACGAGCTCGGTTATGACGATAAGGGGTAGAGTTCGGCTTGCGTTTACGGCTGGGCCCCCCGACGAATCTGAATCCTCGTGACGGCTTCGTTGCTGATTGCGGCATGTTCAGAAATAGTACAGTGATGAAACGGTCGACGTGAAGAACATGAGCAGACAATGTGAGCGTCGAGTTTGGAGAGTTCAAAGGACCCAGGTTCTGTTCCGAATAGGCGACAGTTGCCGTATCGGGGCCATTGTGATGTCTTATCGGGATCTATGCCTTCCCGACCCACCCAAAATAGCGAGCTAACGCGGGGTAATTGGAGACTGGTGGGCAGACTCCGGTGCCGGGCCCTCTTCCGCCCTGCGGGTTATATATTCCGCTCCAGTCCAGAGGCCGGGATCTGCGTCCCATCTCACTATCAGCCTATCTTACAAGCGTCAGGACATCAGTTAAGTTCAAAATCCCTTGTTCACTATCGATTGATGCGAGAATTCTTGCGGCTGGGTCTGGAATCATGCTTTACTTTACTAAATGGGATGCGAGATATATATCCAAACGTCATACGTCATAAACAGATCCTTGTTCTACGAGTTCTAGTTGTACAACCCTCCATTTGCCGACAAGGTAGAGCCGGTGGTCCAACGAGCGTCGTCGGAGCACAGGAACGCTACCAAAGGAGCAATGTCATCAACCTCGCCAACTCGAGCAGCCGCCGGAGTAGATTCAATCAAGGGCTGCATATCTTTCAAAAATTGCTCATCACTCTGGAACCATTGGTCTAGACATTTGGCCTAGGATTAGCGGGGATCCCGTATACGTGTACATACGTGAAACGTGTCTTTGTGTAGTGACTCACCTGTTGCGATTGGACCTGGGTTGACACTGTTGACTGTGATCCCATGAGATTGCCCCAGTTCCTTCGCCCAAGTCCGAGTTAGGGCCTCGTTGGCCGCCTTGGTGGCGGCGTATACCGTTTGTCCTGCGACACCCAGGCGAGCGCCTGCGGACGAGATGAAGACGATACGTCCACCTTTTGGGAGGTGTGGCTCAACGGCTTTGGTCAAAAAGATTGGGCCCTTCACATTTGTATCGAAATGCCTCTCATAGAATTCAGGTGTGGTGTCCATAAGATTGGCTTCATTGCCTTGGGCGGCGCTGGAGTGCGATTGTCAGCATCAAGTCATCACCCCACGGAGAAGGCGTACTTGTGGATAAGAATATCAATCTTCCCGGTAGGACTGATGCTCAAGGCGCTATCAACGATCTTAGGAATGTCGGAAAGCTTGCTGACATCTGCCTGACAGAGTGCGGCCTTGGTACCGTTGGTCTCGATCGTCTTCACAACTTTCTCCGCACGCTCACGGCTGCCCTCGGACACGTAGTTGACAACTACATTGGCCCCGCGCTTTCCAAGGAGTTCGGCAATGCCTGCACCAAGCCCTCTGTTGTTATTTTACGATTAGCAAACCGCGTTGCCATGATACTAGCAGTGAGATTCCAGTCCATACCTAGAAGCTCCAGTGACGATTGCAACTTTGCCTTCAAGGCTCAATCCCTTAAAGTCTACCATGGCTGAATCTGGGAATGACAACGAGACGACACACGAACAGCAATTGGATTGCTAATGTATCGTGAAGTATCGGATATGAAGGTTTGATGAAGATGAATAGGGGAAGATGTCTGATGTTTGTCGCTTGTTCTTATTTACAATTAACGTATTGATGACGATGCATATCTGCTGCAATCATCATCGCCGACCTTACGACCGATGACTCCTGAGTGGACTAACTCCGCCTCTTCTGGCAAGTCAACCAATTTCCTATCCTTGTTAGGTAGATGTTCCCACCTGCTGCGGGGAGGACCGGAGCTCGGACCCGGTCCAGGGAGTACGAAATATTTCCTAATTAGGAAATAATGCCAATAACCCCGCAAACTTTCTCCAAAAGTCGTTGAATGGCCAAGTCCTGAAACTAACAGTGGGTTGGATGCACCCAAAGAACAGGACTCTCCAAGACATAGCTGGAGTGCATTCCGGTCACACGGCATTGGGCCAAAGATGGAATTATCTGATATCTTCTGTCAAAACGGATCAACCTTCTTAACTGCTGTGGATCGGGCACTAGACCTGGGGCATGTTACCATTCGTTGCATAGTTCAGTTGACATTTTTACAACATGGCGCCTGAGAAGAAGACCAACGATGGGTACGAATGGACTCCCAAGTCTGTCTCGGTTTCGAAAGGCCTCGAAAGTGATGCAGTTGTTCAACCTCCTAGACGATTGGAATCGATTCCCAACCGCTTGTATGACACCATTGTAATTGGCGCGGGATATGCTGGCCTTGCAGCCGCGCGAGATCTTTCAACCAACGGTAGGATCTTGGACCTGTTCAAGACTCTTGCTGTCCCAGCTACTAATACACTAGCGTCAGGCCACTCCGTGTTACTGCTTGAAGCTCGAGACCGTATTGGGGGACGAACCTATACAGTAAAAAAAGATGGTACGTTGTATGACACTTACGTGTGCATCTAACGCTTCTGCTTACATCGTCGAACAGGATTTCTCTACGAAATGGGAGGTACTTGGGTCACCCACCACATGGGGTACTTGCTCAGAGAGATGACAAGATACAACATGGATCGTGATCTCATGGAAACTGGCATTGCGGATAAAAGTGATGGATACTATACCATCAACGTTCCAGGTATTTTACCATTGAAATCATCACACTCGCTTCGGTGAAACTGATGTTATCGCACTATTTAGGTGCGAAGCCGAGAAGAACAACCCACGAAGAAGCCGGAGCCATGACATCTCGAGCCTGGGATCTTTTCGTGAACGTCGATGGTCAACATTGTCGCACGATCTGCCCTTTGCCCCACGCACAGCTGAATAACATCGTTGTGAATCGATCAACCATTGAGAAATGGGACCAGATGTCTTGTCAGGACCGATACGTGCAAATCAAGGACCAGCTCAGCGCCGAAGAAAGAGGACTTCTTGTATCGTTGCTCTTGCACATCTCGGGCGGTGACATGGAGAACAGCAGCTTCTGGGATATGGCACGATCTCACGCTCTTATGACGCACGACTCCAAAAACTTCGGTGATATCTGGCTTCGATACAAGTTGAGACAAGGACAGACAGCCCTCGCTAAGCGAATGCTCGGGGAAGCCGTTGACTATGGCGTCGAGTACATCTTCTCGTTCCCTGTCAGCTCCGTCATCCAACGATTGGATGGTATTCAGGTCCGCGGTTTTTCAGGGCAAACGTTCAGGGCTCACAAGGTGGTTTGCACCATTCCACTTAACGTTCTGAAGGATGTCCAGTTCATACCCCCGCTCTCGACGACTCGCCGCGAAGCCATCGAGCTGGGACATGTCAACCAGATGTCGAAGATACACGTCGATGTAAGCAACCCTGAGCTCGAGGGTTGGAACGGCATGCGCTTTCCTGGTGCTCTGATGTACGGCTACGGCGACGGTGTCCTTCCTAATGGGAATGTCCATCTTGTCGGTTTCGGGAAGGACAAAAAGGGAGCGTTTGTACCAGAGGAAAATCCAAAGGCAGCCGTCGACGCCTTTGAGCAGCTCCATCCGATGAATGTTCAGAGAATGGCAAGTCACTATGACTATCTTGATACGATTCCGCATATGTTAATGATGCTCAGATATTCCACAATTGGTGTACCGATCCATACTCTAAAGGGGGTCCGGCATGGTGGAGGCCTGGATATATGTCCAAGTATCAGGATGAGCTTCAGAGAAGACATGGAGATATCCTCTTTGCTAGTGGTGATTGGGCTCATGGCTGGCGAGCCTCTATTGATGGTGCACTTGAACAGGGCATCATGAATGCTCAAACGATTGCCACGGAACTCAGACCTAAGGGGAGGCTTGGTCAATCTCGCCTCTGACGAAGACAACTGGGAAGAGGAAGGCGCACTTGTCAATTAGAAGATCTCTTACAAGAATTGGATTATTTTTCCGCTACCTGCTCCTCAGCGTACGTGGTCTGGAATTTCGTGCTGGAGATGGCGATAAAGTGCAGCAGCCATTTCCACACACCAGGCTAACATAGAAATCGTGAGGAACGTCGGAGGCGAAGACAAGTAATAGTCTTGGAACTGTAGGGTACTAGAACTTTCAACCAAGAGGATCAATCGTCATCACACGGGTTCACAGAAGCCATAAATTGCAGTGCGTGATTGAAAACATCAATATTGAATCTGCTAAGTATTCGTACGTTCTTTTCGATATCCTGAGGTGTGTCATGACAATATAGGCGGGCCATTCCAGTCCCTTAATCGATAGCGTTCTGGTCGTTGAGCATGGCCCAGTCGATAGAAGGCCCTTGAAACTGCTTTCTAATACAGTACCATGTCAAGATGATGAGACAGCCAATTTCCCCCAAAGTTACACATACGCTAAATTACGTGTCAGTAGAAACGTTCCAGACGGAAAGGATCAAGTCACGGGAACGGAACTTACTAATTCATTGAAGCAGCCGTCACAGGTAGGATATTTGGGAAACAGATAACGATACCGATGACAGTTATCCAAACAGGAGAAAACGCATTGCAAAAGTAACCCCAGATTCCAAGATCGAATGAACGATTGGGAAGGGTCTTCCCTCGGCCTTGCACGAGGCAGATGGCTTGCGGTACAACGTAGGAGATGTTTACTGCGAGGACTGCGGAGACGATGATGGAGTTGAACGCTTGGGTACTCGCAACATATAGCAATCCATAGATCGCACAGAAGGCTGCCGAGAGAAGAGTAGTTCGTACAGGGAACTGATAGTTTGAGTGGATCTCAGTCCAGTAGTGTGACCTCGGAAGTCCGTTCTGATGAAAGTGTCAGTCTCCGTCCTTTGTTTGGAGTTACCAGTGCTCAGCACTTACGTCTCTAGCAAAAGCCCATGTCAGGCGTCCGCATGTGATCCACTGACTTGGCATGCACGCTGAACAGTATCATCAGTCTCTCTGCATGTCAGATCTCGAGGGGCTGGACTTACTGTAAATTAGAATAGTCAACAGTATTTGCAAGCCTAATGCTGCAGTCTTGCTTCCTGTGGCTTGATAAAACGCTTCAAGACTAGGCAAAATTGCACCCCGCACAGCCTCAACATCTTTGATAACGAGCATCATCGCGATGATGAAAGGCACTGATGTTACCAAGCCAATCATTAGAGTCAAGTTGCTAGGAAAAGGCATTAGCTGCCGTTAAGTGACACGATGCCCTTGCATTGTAACACCTACATGACCCGAGGAATCTCTTTCCCGGGATGATGCATCTCCTCCGCAATGTGGATTACGGTATCTAGGCTCGCAAAGGCGTACATGGCGTTGCCGATGCTCATGAACCAAACCATCCCATTCGGCCATCCACTGGCACCGTCGAATTTGATGATCTGACTGGCAGGCTGAAATGACTTGCACATCGTCAGGATGACAATGGTGACAATGAAGAATCCGAGGATTGACAGAACTAAGCAGAGCGTTGTCCACTTCCCAATATGGCGCTGAGGGATGGTGAAAATTGGCGCGACTTGGGAGACTCGAGTTAGCATTCAAGAGTTGGTGGGAAGCGCCTGCTGATGGATGGGGTGAGACGGGACTTACGTTTAACAACTAAAAGTGCAAGGTACACGAGATAAAACTGCCAGCGTTGGGGTTCAAAGCTGGGATTCACAAATTGAACCATGCCCATGATCGACTGAACGTTATTGGACAACCCTGAACAAGTGATCACCCACCATCCGACGATGCTGAGCAACCCAACCGAGAAGGCCGCAAACTTCTTGTGTTTCTTCGGGGCCAAGATAGATGTGAAGTGGTATTGCCCTGTAACTATTTGTCAATGACCATGGATGGCACATTTCGCTCTTTTAGCGATTCAAATGCATACCTCCCGAAGATGGAAAAGCAGAGGCTTCTTCAGCCATGCCAGCGGCTACAATCCATTGCACAAAGCAGGCCACAATCAGGCCAAATACCGTTGCTTGCGGGCCACCATATACCATGCTCTGCCCAAAGCAACTCGCATATGACAACCACGAGTTTGTGATACTGAAGACATCACAACGTTAGCACACTTCTTCATCCACGCTTTAGTTTTCAGCAAACCCTGCAAGGTTTCAACAGCATGTTCAACTCACCTGAAGCCTAAACCAAGGGTTCCAAGAGTATTGAATGTCCTCTTCAATGCCGGAGCATGTCCTTGTGCTCGCAGAATGGCATCATCGTCCATACCATGGAGCTCTCCAAGGATAACTGATTGCCCATCGCTTCCGACAGCTTTTGGCTCGGCTATTTTGCCGTCATTTGGATATTCGCCGGTCATAGTCAGCCCAATGAAAGGTTTGGTGGTACTATAGTTGCACAAAGATCGGTCGAGAAAAGCACTACCTGAGACTCTGGGATGGTTATCGTATGTTGATAGATGGTTGTAAGGAATCTGAATTCCGTGGTCTGACTCCAAGAACTTTATATGAAAAGCTGCGGTACGCTGTTCACGCCCACGTCTTATCAAGACCTTGGAAATACAGCCGGACAAAGGTACGTGCACTACCCCTCCCTCCCCGTCTTCAGCTACAGATTGAATGCCGTCTACACCTACACATTTCTGAATACACTAAGATCCAGTCGATACATTGCCTGCACCAACGTCCCAATCATGGCTGGCATGTCGCTCAATTCGTTTGCTTGCAGTGTGACTGGGCCTCGTCAGCATGGAGAGAGATACCACTAGAACCATGTTTCCGCCCGTCCGAATCTTCTTGCACGTCCAAAAAATGCGTCGTAGATCTACATCCATGGCTCATGATTGATTCAGGTCCTTCCCCAGATTTCCAAGCCGCTTCCCCGCAAAGATCCTAGTTTGCCGAGCTTTCCTATCTTGAACCGCACGGATGCTAGCTACCATGCAACCCGCTATCTTTGGTGGGGGTCCATCACGGGGAACTTCTGCATGCCGATAGTGGCTGATATCTTGTCTCTGCGATCAGGTTTCTTACACGTCTTTCGCCTACCCAGAGTGTCTATGTTAAGCGTGAGACAGGGATTCTCGGATACACATTGTGACTGCATTGCCAAGAGAAGTTTTCGGAGCTCAGCACGATAGACCCCAAACGTTATCCTTGCTACATGTACACGCAGAGGCCGAGGGTATTGTTGAGCAACGACTTGAACTGAGCCGGACAAAGGATAGCACGCAGACTGCAGTGAGTCCGACTAGCCATCGTCGTCAACCGAACGTCGACATGAATAGACCTTCAACACCTGTGTGCGTCTGAGCGGGGTGTGTCCCTGGTTGGTCTGATAGCATAGCGGGGTAAAAGGTTGCGGTCAAATATTTCCAGATTCGGAAATGTTTTTTGTCCTCTTCAGGAAAAGTTGAAATAACCCCATGTATAAAGTAGTTCCTGTTCGTTATGACATATCAATGTCAAATCAAGCAGCCAATTTCAGAAGGGAGGAGAGTAACCGAGGACCAGTCAGTTGCCATGGCAAGAACAACGAAGAACAGCGAGATCATTCAGCTCGCCAAGCAGCTGAAGGGCACCCCCTGGTGCGAGGAGTACGAGCGCATGATTTCTGGAATGCTGTGAGAATGCAACATGACCAAACAGAGGTCCTTGAAATGTTAACGATGATAGATAAAATCCATTGCATCCCCCCCTGCTCGCAGGACGTCACCGCGCGAGATGTCTACTTCACAAGTATAACAATCTGGATCCGAACTCAAAGCCTTATGACGAGTTGATGGCCACACAGCAAGAAATGCTCAAGGACATTTTGGGAAAGGTGGGCCCGGGAACATTTATCGAGCCACCTTTCATACCAGATTACGGATGCAACGTGGTAATTGGCGAGAATTGCTTTATCAACTTCAAGTAAGACAACTTCCTCCAAGATAAGACCTGAACTGTTCTAATACTGGCTTAGCTGCACCATCCTTGATACCAGCCTGGTGGTCATTGGTAACCGTGTTCAACTGGGTCCAAACGTGAGCATCTACAGCGCAGGGCACGAGGCCAGTGTCCTTTCTCGGATTAAGTTTGTCGAGTTTGGCGATCCCGTCTACATAGAGGATGATGCGTGGATTGGCGGGGGTACAATCATCCTGCCGGGGGTCACTATTGGCAAGGGAAGCACTATTGGAGCAGGGTCAATCGTGACAAAGAGCATTCCACCATACTCTGTTGCTATGGGGGCTGTCACGGGCTAGAGCCCGGATTGATATCTCCGGCTTTGCCGGAGCAGTTACTGAGATCCGGCTCTGTTGGACCCACTACTCTGCCGCGGTACACCGCCTAACCCGGTCTGCTTCACTGCTGTTAGGTGCCTACTCTTGTAAAGTCCTTTCTTCTTTCTTCAGCTTAGAATAGTCAATCGACGGCACTTCTACGTTGAAAAAGCCTAGGGGCCAGCCCCTTACAGGGGCCCCCGCAAAGGTGGTCAAGAAGCTCCCAACTGTCGAAGAAGAACTGGCGGATCCGAACAATGCTTACAGAAACATGCCTGACCGGCAGTGAAATTTCAGGGAAAAGAAAGTATTGGGGCTATGTACATTGATTGGCTGGAACACGATTTGCTATCATCCCCAAACGAAGCTCATGTCAGAAAGTGTCTCGGACATGGCGGACAGCTTCCGCCTGAACCTCAACGTGTATGCCCGGGACAACCAAAGCTGCAACCACTACCGACGTCCACGTTGGCGAATGACCCGGGTACTTTTCCCGGAAGACCTCCAGCAGTTTGGCCTCATCTTCCGCACGAATAAAATATGCAACAATTTTGTGCGCTCCCCCCAGGCCAAGTTCGACTCCAGCGTCGCGTAGAGCTGCATCGAGACAGTCGCATACGGCATTAAACTCATCCCAAATGCTGGACTTGACAAGTTCTCCTGTTGAGAGGTTGACGCCGACATGTCCGGTCGTGACAACTAGGTGACCATGTAAAGGTATCGTGGCCGTGGTAGCAAGGGATGAGGAGCGAAGCATCTCGCCGACTGGGCCTGACAGCCATATGTACTCTGCCATTGTGTGAATTTGTCAAAGATGAAATGAGACGTTTCTCTTTGTTGTTTCGTTTTCTGGTAAGCCGTAGATTTCAAGATCCATCCCTAGCTGAATTACCGGACGAGCGCTCCTCAAAAGTAGCTCTGTGGCAGTGCTGCTGTCGTCCATCCATAACCTGCCGGGTCCAGGACAGGCATGCTCAGTGATGGGCTTAATATGTCCGCAACGGGAAATATTTACAATGCTTGCAACCCCACCCTCCTCGGCTGCGCACCACCGAAATTATCAATACCTTCCATTGTCTATGCTCCTCGGAGCCATAGAGAGCTTGATATGGAAGAAATACACGTGCCAGCTTTTGTGTAAAAACGAAACATTGATAGGGGACGTTTGCCGCCTAGCTTCAACCAACGTAACGCGAGACACATTGACCAAGATGTCCAGCATAACTGCAGCTTCAGCACAGGCTCTGCGCGATCTGATTGACCAGTACACCACGGTAGAAAACCCGAAACTTCCGGGGATTGTGTATTGTGCATTTGGACAAGATAGTCTGCCGATATTCCAGCATGCATCCGGGAAGAAGGGCTTGTCGACAACCCAGCCAATGACGTTGAACACCACGTTTTGGCTCTTATCATTTACAAAGTTGGTGACTTCCATAGCTTGTATGCAATGCGTTGAGCGAGGCTTGCTCAAGCTGGATGACGCAGACCAGCTCGAAGAGCTCGCACCGGAACTACGTCATGTGCAGGTGCTCCAGAGGACAGCCGAAGGAGACTTCCACTATGTTCCAAAGAAAAGTCGCGTCACCTTCAGAATGCTTTTGAACCACACAGGTATCTCATACAAGCTTCAAACCGCTTCGATTTGCTTGCTGATATACATGCTTCACAGCTGGTTTTGGCTACGCCTTTGACGATGACAAACTCGCCGAGGTAGCCCGTCCGGTCGGCCTTGATGATTTCTCCTGCGATCAATCATTGAAGGTTGATTTCAGGATGGCCATGCTACGTTCGAGCAGGAATGGCTTGCAGCCTCGACGGCTGTCCGGTTCAGATCCTGTGCTTCAGTATGTCACTTTTGTTGCAGTCTCATCTCGGACTGAGACTCAGAATGAGCCTCAGACTGAGCCCATCGACTCTCTCATCTCATCTCGGACCATGCTTGCTCCTTCTTTGATATCGGACTTAGCTTACTGGTTGGAATAGCCAACTCCAATACTCAGCCACGCTAGATGGTAGCGCATCTCACAGGATCTCGGACTGAAGATGGTTCGCGCTCAAGTCATAGATCCATAACCAGAATGTTCTTTTGACGTATTATGCAGTTTTTAAGATCATAAAGTTGATGAACGCCCACAAATACCTTACATCGACGTCGCTGATTGCAACTTCTGTGACTAAGTACATGTATCCTTCTATTTAAACCCGCGGTTGCATCCCTTCTGTGTCCAGTTCTGTTGCTAGAATCCAGAACAACTCAGTATTCATCATGAAGCTGCACTTCATTCTTTCTCTATTTACCATTGCCCCACGGCTCTCTTTACAGTTACTGTCGGGTGATGTATCCGTTCCAGAGAGCCAGGCCATCTCCTCGGTTACGTTCGCCGACAGGCCTCTTGAACTCTTGGCGCGGCAGCAGCCACAGACGGCGCCAGGCAAGAAGAAGGATTCATGCAAGGCCTGCCCGAGGCGAAAATGCAGCAGCACCGCATACTTCCGCAACGCCGCCACTTGCAGATGCGAGAAGTGCCCGAACGGCCAGAAGGCCAAACAGAGGGGTGACGGGTGCGAGAAGGCGCAAGACGATAAGAAAAAGAACAAAAATGACAAGTCTGTAAACAGAAGCCCTCGCATGGCAGGCGCCTTGCTGACTTCATATGACAGAATCAAGGACACCATCGAACGCAAGAAGAAGGAGTACCAACAGAAGAAGAGATAGAAAACCAAGAAGGAAATGGTCGACAAGGTCAAGGGTAAGAAGAGGACCGAGTAGAAGCGCAACAAGAAGCGGACCCGCATGGGCAAGTGCCTGCTGCTCGTTCCGCTGTCCATCTTTGGCGAGTTCGACGGCATCGTCCCCCTATCTTCATACGCAGAGGACTTCTTCTCCGAAGACTTTGTGACCGGCGACGCGATTGACGAGTTCTGGCCGGGCGACTTTGGGGACGCCCCTGACGTGGATATCGACTCGGACGAGTACACAATGCCATACGTAGAGATCGCGGCCGCGATTGAGGATGACAAAGACACGAGATGGAAGGATCCGATTGTGCCCATCGGCTTGAAGCGCGAGGAGCCATCGAGACTTCCTGTGCCTAAGGAACTGGTAGGAGAATTCAGACGTACGGAGGCCTCAGGTGAGACCACTGCGGATATTCAAGCCACCTATCACCAGCTCAACAAGCGTAACACTGTCGCGGTACGTAACAAACTTTCCGAGGAAAACCTCACCAAACTATGAGGCAGATGCTGACTTTCAATATCTAGGCCATTCTGAGGGCCATTTTGGCCTTCGTCGGGCGTTTTGCATCTGCTACCAGGACCGTGGTCGGGAGATTCGCGACCATCGGTCAGCGGACGAGTGCTCGTCTCAAGGACTTGGCCGCAAGGGGCGGTGCCCGTCTTGCGAAAAGTGGCGGCAAGAAGACGCTCGATGAGATGAAGAACGCGGCTCGCACGATTTCCAAGAACAAAAACTGGAAGAATTGTCTGAATGGAGTCAAGCCGTCGAGAACGGCGGCATGATTTGTCGTCTACTGTCATGGAGTTGATTCAGGTAAAGCGAAGAGGAAAGGCCTGCTAGTGTTTTCGCGGAGGTTTGCGAGTTAGGAGAATGTTCTGGATCACTTTGTCATTTAGATTGCTCTTGTCAACTTGAAGTTTAGTCGTTTATCTTTTCGCAATTCTCTACTACATTGCTTCATTTCTACACTTGGGCTTACGTGTACCTCTTGATGAGGGAAGCCAATGGACTTTGAAGAGTACGACGGAGTAGGAAAACAATTCTCCTAGTTATGGCCGTTTTGCCATTTTTGTGTGGCCCGAATAAGATACCAAGTCGCAACGTTTTTAGGTATCTTTCAAGATGATTATGACAATTTGAACAAGTCTCAGTACGGGTTACACCACGAGTTTATAACGCGATACATCGCGGATCACTCAGAAGTATTCTCCATTTGAATCAGCAAATGTACAGCTGACGTCTGCATCGCGTGTTGGAACGTCTGCAATACTCGTGATGTTCTTTGAACTTTCAACTATTTGCCGCCTCTTCTTGTACTTTTGCTCATGTGGAGTGCCACAATTGGAAATGAAGGTTTCTCTAGGTGATTTCTCTGGCAAGTGCAGGTACCATCCATTTGACCTAATTGAAATCACGCATCAGATTCGCATTTCAAATCACGGTTATCCAAGGATTGAGTCTCAGTAATTTCTAAATGCATGCCACATGTCAGCTTCGGACTCAAGCCAGTAGGTATATTAAACCGAGTAGTGCTCTCTTGAGGTGCTTATAGAAACCAATCCGAGAGGTTATTTCTTTTCGCGAAAAAGCCGAAAGTGCGAAGAAAACACGATGTCAGCTCATGTTGATTACCTAGGTAGTGTACAGCCGCCAAAAGTCCGAGTACATAAGCTGAGACTGAAATCCTCAGAGTCCTGTCTAAGCCCCGAACTCCGTGCTGACGACGGTTAAATGCGTTCGAAAATTCCGAGGCTCAGCCACACGAAGAAAATTGCGCAGTCCACAGGTTGACTACATGTATCATCGCCCGAATGGGTGACAACACCTTGAGTAAAAGCCCCCTCTTAAGTTTATAAGAGCACGCGAAAATTAAACAGGCAAATGTCCATTTGGAGGTCATTCATTGTCCACAGCCAAGTTGTTCCACGGTATTCAGCTGTTCCACACTACGATTCTCATATCTTTGACAAAATGTACTTTCCTACCTTTCAACTGCTGGGTCTCATGGGTGTCCAGGCTGTACTTGGCCACCCCGTATCTGCATCTGAGGTAACGTCTACTTACTCTTGGTTTCTGGCAGCTTTTGCTCTTGGCTTACACTCGATGCTTTGGTACCACGGCATATTACAATCGAGAAACGGAAGCCTGATGGTTTCTGGCGAGAAGGTGGCGCCGACCTTTTCGGGGAGCTGAATTTAAATGAACTGACAATTGGTGAAAACGTGGGGGGTGGCAAAGACGGAAACGCATTCAAGGCGACCGTGATCGCCCCCGGATGGGATCAGAGCGTCACGTGGATATTGAAGAAGGATTATTCCAACAAGCAGCACATCTTGAAAGAGAAGGAAGCCTATGAAGCTATCGACGGCAAGGATGTAGGACCAAAGTTTGGAGCGCTTGTCTATGATGATTGCGGTGTTGATGAAGAAGGCATTCTGATCGAGTTCATCGAGTCGCGCTTCGCAGACCCCAACAACAAGGACGATGCGAAGAAGGCATTGGAGTCTGTCAAGAGGATGCATGATGCCGGCTGGATCCACGGTGATCTGACCTCTGTCCGCAACATTGTGATCAGGACATCGGACAACAAAGCCGTTCTTCTCGATTTCGCTCTGGCGAGGAAGATCAAGAGCGCCCAAGACAGCCGAGAGGACTTTCAAGACCTCGCATTGGCTTTTGCGGGAGTGAGATTTGATGATGACGGGACGACATGGAAAGTTAGAGAGTAGGCGGCGACCTCTCCGGCAGCTTTCGTGTGACGGCGAGACTGAGAAGATATCGGTGAAGGAAAGCATGGAAAGAAGCAGTTTCGTAGATTGTTTGAAATCTCTTGATTTGTATTGGTATTGCTAAGTTTATAATTTTCAAATATCAGGAAGCCTGTGTGACCATATCGTGGCTGATATTCCAAAGCCCACCTTGTGTCTGTTTCGACGCAGCGACCTGCCCTGCAATTTCGAAAACCCGCATACTTCGACCAGTTGTTCTCGTATCGTTCGCTAGATCCCTCTCTAAGTCTTTCTGAAGCCTCAGTGTTTGATCTGGATCCTCCCGGACATGAAGGCTCTAAGCAATTGGACTTGATTGTTCCCCCGAAACGACTTCAGAACCAGTCAGAATGTTTGCCGAATCGACCGCAGTGAGTGGATCTGCCAAGAATGGCTAGTTGTGGATGCTGGTGGAAGATAATGGCTGCCTGGAATATCGTCTGGAGATGACACTTGACTTTTGACATTGCATCTTTGACACGTGTGCCATTGCTTTCTGATTAAAATTCCGCTCCCACTGCAGCAAATGTTTCAGACGACATATTCTCGTTTACTAGCTGTGATTGCGTCTCACAGCGATGAGACTCACGCCAAGAGCATCAACCATGGACTCTCTCCTACTGCGCATGTTCAGCTTTGCCTTCTTCACTATCGGGGCAATGGCCACGATCAAGTTCTTTGACCCGCCATTCCAGTGCCCGAGTGTTATTGACACTGTCCTTCCGATTGGGCAGTATAGTGAATATCTCTATGGGAGGCTTGAAGACCCAAGTGATCCCGAGATGCAAACCATGAAGGAAATACACAATACGCTCTCCAATTGTTCGTCCGTCAAAAGTTTGAAGCTACTTCTCACCAAGCTCCAGGGCGAGTTTGAACCCGACCGCTATGACTTTCCTTTCCACTACCCCTCAGGCTCGCGCTACCCGTCGCAACTAGAAGTCCTCGACTTAGAGGGCTACAGGTTTAACGAAAAGCCGTGGGAAGAGGCGCGCAAAATGCTGTCAAGCACCGACTCGACCTTCCATAAGTACCTCGACTGGCTCGGGTCCGGCAAGGCTTGGAGTTGGCTCAAGTGGATGTGGCTCTCGGAGCAGCAGAAGCAGATGACGAATCTCGACTTGTGGCTCGAAGCAATGGACTTTTCCCACATCAAAACACTCGTGCTCATCCCACCAGAGCCAAGCATGTTCTCGAGGTCTAAGAGCCATGCGCCCAACTCCACCCAACTAGCACCACACCTCAAGTCTCTTACCTCTCTGACGGCCCGCGGGCCTTGGGCAGGAGACCTGATTACAGCGCTGCCGGAGAACTCGCTTACACATCTGGCATGGTTGAGCAGCCGGAGACCGTGGCGGTTGGCTGAACCTGCCATCCGCCATCACGCAAAGTTACTCACGAGTCTTGAGTGTAGGGCGTCCGAGGCAGAGGCAGATTGGAGATCGTCCATCAACCCGGAGCAGATCGCAGAGCTAGGGATCATGGCTCCAAATCTGCGTAATGTCACGATTGACATACGGCAGAATGATGTCTGGCCGTACAGACACTTAGAAGCCCTCGCCACAAAGTTCCCCAAGCTGAAGAACGCGACATTATTCTTCGATATGGCGAGCTACTGTCGCAGAGCCATTGATGCGAGGAAGAACAGCGTGTTGGGTCGGGAGAGATGGAAAATGGAAATGAGCAGCAACTGCGGCCCGGGTGAGGACGAGTTTGCTCACCCGCGGCTGGATGTTGCGAGCGCACAAGACATGTTTGAGTTCCTGGTGGAGAAGAATGAGGGTGGCCAACTGAGGAAAGCCACTTTTTACTCGGGAGATTGGGACAGACCAAGGGAGGAACCTCGATGGGGGTCGGAGTGGCTGGATGGGAAGCGCGTCTGGGCTAATTGCTGGATCTCTGAAGATCTCGCCGAGGTAGAGGATACAGGCAACGAATATCGACATTCCGAAGAGCCGTGGGTGGTGTGCCAGGCAGGGAGTAAGAGACAGTTCCATGAGATTGGTTCCCGAAGAACAATCTGGGATAACGATGAATGGTGGTGGGACAGGACGATGGAACAACAGATCTGGAAGATGGACAGGGGCAATTCTGCAGCGAACCCATTCATTTCACAGTTGTGTGGCTCAAAGACGCGGGGGCGTATTCAACAACCTTCAGGTTTGGCTAAATAAACTGTGCCTCCCACATGGTAGCCCTCATGCGTGCAGCATTTTGACCCTTCAAGTGAGAACACCAAGCGGCGGAACGACAAGAAATCATAAACGAATGTGATTTTTATGAAGCCACGACGATAAAGACAGACTGTAGAGCTAAAGAGTGCATTCCAACCCCCCTGGCAGATTACCGGCCCGTGCTAATATTTCTGATCTCAGCGAAATACTTCATCCTCCCGTAGCCCTCCATGGTCCCCTTAGCATCTGATCTCAGTAGAACCCGTCGCCGATCTGCAAAAGTCCTCACCCTCATTGTAAATCATGTATCCGACCCTCAGAGCGCCAAGCGCCTTTGTTCAAGGAACAGCCCACAGGATCCAGTGATCTCCTGCAACTTCTGAGTATAAGTATAGACATTGATGTCCCCAACTCCGGCGCCCCTGGTGCGGCACAGGAAAGCCACAACCGGGCGGGCAGAGGCAGATCTTTTGATCTCGTACCAAGCCATTCCAGGGTTGATAAATGCCCTACCCAGCCTTTGCTTCCTCATCTGATTCTTCAGGCCCTGAACTGCGCCGTCACAATTGCCGCTGTTCATTCTGTACTTGCAACCACACCAGGTCTCGCCGTCACGACATGTCGGGGTTCTTGAGGTGAACTTCATGGCCGGTTTCGTTGTAGTAGGCTACGTAGAAACCGTCCGCCACATCCTTGGGGAGCGTGAAAGCTGCAGCGATGACAGAGATGGAGGCGAAAAGAAGAAATATGAAGTGCATTGTAAGTTGTAGAAGCTGAAGTGATGGTAAGATTCAGATGATTTGTGTTTATTTCTTATCCTCAGAGCAGTTGATACTGACGTCTTCTTCTTTAGCAAGGACGTTTGGCCCCGCATTTATAGTTGAGCTCACACGAAATCCGTATGCTTACAGTCACTAGCCGTCTCTCTAACTTGAGGCTCCAGCCTTTCTTGCTCCAGGACAGCCGAGGGCTGTTCCAAGTGATGGATGATGTCTCATGACAGCTGGCATCTAGGGTCACAAGGCAACTGACTCTGGCGGATTCGACGAGTAGAAAGTTTTTCGTAGAGACTGAATGACGGTGATCAGGCTGATGGTGCTGATTTTCGTGTCCTCGTGGACGTACGACTTAAGGTGATCCGAGATGTTGCGAACTAGCCAAACAAAGCTTCAGATCAGGGTAATGGTCACTAACATAAACGGCCGTATATCTGAGTCTTGTGCAGTAAATGTCTCGGTCAGGCCTTGTGGAGGTCAGCATCTCGAGCCTCCTGGATGAAGAAGGCCACAAACACAAGACAATTTTGTTCCACATAATCAAAGTCAGTGATAGCAATCATGTGCGAATGTCATGGCCGCAACATCAGAAACTGAGAACCATAAAGCACATTACACAGGGGTTGTGGGAGACGTGAAAGTTCTCAGTTGTCAACTTATAATAAGCTTAAAATAAGCAATATTAGAGCAGAGATATGGCTATCGCACCAACAAGCATCCATCTGCACATGAATATGGAGACAGACGCTGCTTATGACAGCTCACCTTTCGGGCGGATCTACGAGCTTCCACGAGCCTTAGCAAGGTTACACGTTGTGCTTGGCAATATGTCGGGAGGCAGCCGCATCAGCTTGCATCCTGGGGGTTTGAGACACAAAACAACTTAGTCAATACTTTCAACTTCCCAAGTGAGCCGTTTGTTTCATCACAGGTGCACCGCGTGTCTAAAGGCAAATTCGCCATTGCACTTTGAAGTCGAAGTGCACACCTTCTAATTATTTCACTCGCCCGCGCTTTGCGGACCTTGGCGGTCTGATGCCAATTCAGATGTAGTTTAGCGTGATAATGCAAAGTGGAGGAAATCAAGACCGACTCCTTTGTCTCAATGGTAGCATCAGCGTCTCAAAGCCGCTTGCACCTGATCCTGGACAGAAGATAGCACTAAAAGTTTTGAAGAGACCTCAAATGTTTATAAGTCTTCAATATCCGAGCTTCGAGTCTTTGGAAATTAAACCTATGAACGCTTCTCCGAACGTAGAAGAGGCTTAATTGCTGCAGCTTTAAGTTCGTGAACATTATTTTCGTCGCCGGCACCAGGCTATGTGGCCTTGGAGGCTGTGGATTTGCGATGACAAGGGTGAAGACTTGCCAAGCAACGGATGGAGAATTCACAATTTGACGCAACGGAGCTCAGCCTTGGCAAAGTAACTGTCGGAGTTGCATCCATCCTGCAATTGCAGCCAACCCGTAGCCTCACCTCCCTCCAGACTAGAATGAGCTGCGTAATCCTTTGCAATCTCAACCTCTGCCCGACTTGCCTCACAGGCAACAACTCATCATTTGTTCAATCGCATGAATGAACCAACAAGCTAACCAGCCGGGCGTCCCGTTCCCTCTTCCCCGCATCCGCCATCCCCGCATCCCCAGCCCGTCCGTCTCCAACTTCCCAACCTCATCGGGTCACACGGCCAGAAGCGGGCCCAATAGTGGACGTAAAAGCAGGAAATACGCGCCTAAGGGACCTGGGGTACAGGAACGATGCTCTATTCGGACGCAATGCCGAGGCTCTTCCATCCTCCTCCGCCCATCCCACACAGCACAACTCCTGTCCTATGTAGCTCCAGCCATTTCTAGTCATATCTACGAGCCAAACCACGAGGCGCTAACCCCACGCGGAAGCCACCTCGGACCTAGACCTGGACCCCTGGCCGACTTGAACGACAGTCCGAACATGTGGTCGACGATCCATGGCGTCCGGCGGACGACGAACCTCCGTCTGATTCGCCGTTCGGCCACGACGGGGTACCCCTGGCGATCACAACACAGCAGCGCAGCCACCCCGGCTTTCCGCCGGGCTCAATTTCAACGAGCTGATGGCGCGGCAGTGCGGCACTTGCGATGGGATGGCGTTGCCTCGCCGGCCCTTTTCGCGGGCATGCAGTGCTGCTTAGCAATGCGCGTACGGATACACCATGCCAGCCTCTGCGCCAAGAATCGTTGAGGTCTGCGACGTCATCCAACCCGGTGGGCTGCCGAGATAAATACCTCTCCGACCTCCCCGGTTCTCCTCTGTGCCTTCCTCTATCTGCTAGCTTCGACTACCGTCTGATCCGACCAAACCGATCCTGTCTCACCATCGCTCATCATCCACGACCGAACCTGACCGACCGAAAATGAGATCCACGACGAGGACCACCGCCGCGATCGCCGGCCTCTTGGCGGCCAGCGCTGCCGCGCAGAACTCGACCAGCACCTGCGCCAGCGGAGTGCATCTCATCGTCGCACGTGGCAGCAACGAGCCAGCTGGTGTTGGCCGGATCGGCAGCGTCGCCAATGGCGTCGTCGCCGCCATCCCCGGGTCCCAGATCGAGCCGCTCGATTACCCCGCGACCTTCGACAACTACTCAATCTCAGTGGAAGATGGAGACATTGCCATGAACCTGGCCTTGACGGCGTACAGCTCGAGATGTCCCGACTCAAAGGTTGCCCTGCTCGGATATTCCCAGGTACGTGAGAGAGCTGTCTGACTGAGCTTGATAGAGGAGTTCATGACATGCATGACACGACTTGGGACGAGACGCCATTCTTGGGGCGCTGTCGGAGGGCCCACGGACAATGATTGGACACCAACATGCGATGAGGCTGCGCTTTTTGCTTTCTTCTTCCCGCTGACGTGCATGAACGCAGGGTGCGCAAGTGACGGGTGATACCCTGTGCGGCAGTGTCGACGAAGACGCCGGCGAGGCGCTGGATTTAGAGTTCAACCACACAGCGCCAATTGCATCTTCCATCGTCGATCAGAGCGGTACGTAAAAGCTCACGAAGAGCTTGTTCGGCGTGGACCTTTCGGACATTGAACGCTGATTCTCTCGTAGTAATTGCGGTCGTCCTCTTCGGAGACCCGACCCATACCGCCAACTCGACCTGGAACCGAGGCACGAGCACTCGCGACGGCGTGAGTTGAGCCAAGATGTGCAGCTACTGATGCGAGACACTGACTCGATGCCGGCTCTAGATTTTCCCTCGCGATAACACTACTGCATGCCAGCAGTACGCCTCCAAGATCGCCTCGTGGTGCGACACTGGCGATGTCTATTGCGACATCGGTAACAACACCAAGGTCCACGGCTCATACTTTGCCAACTACACCGATGACGCCGTGGAGTTTGTCGTCGCTCAGTTCAACGCCTCCAAGACGAACAGCACGTCTCCCTCGGCCACCCCGACGCCATCTACCGTTCCGGCATCAGGGGCTGGTGCCACTGGTCCGGGCATGCTCATGTCGATGGCTGGACTGACGATGCTCGCGGCTTTCCTGATGTAAATGTGTTCCACATGGATGACGGAATGGCACCGCACGACGAATACCCCATGATGGATGTTACGATTCAATATGATACTTAGCATAGTAATGAGATGTACGAGGCGTCCAGTATCCTTGATTTCTCGTTGATGGCTCGTGGTTATCACCAGCGTCGGGACTTGCCGTGTTATTAAAAGAGGCCCGCAAAGTCTAATCGCAGCGTGTGGGATGCCGTGATAAGCGCTGATTCAACGACATCAGTGCTCGCCGGTCCGAGTCTACGGACCGAACGATCCACGTGCTGTCGATAATCAAACGGCAAACCCATTGTAGATCACTTACATGGCCTTTCGGTAGTTGCTGCTTCATCACAGAATTCTTTCATATTGATGCATTTCTTGTGGCTAAGCATTTGGTCTCATTTTAGAATTCACCACTTCAAGGAACTACTCAATTACAACGGTAGGAATAAAAACAACTATTTCAATCATAAGAGGTGTTAAGTCTCATTGAAGGCAGGCTGACAGGGTATCAAACTTCGTCCAGCGTCATCGCTACCGTCTAATATTTAGATTACATATAAGAAAGATAATTCCTAGTTCCTTGCGTCTTCCAAGGCATATATCGACGTTCCTTTCCTCCACGGCTTCCTATCGTCATGAGTCGCACTTTATTTTCTCCCATCACCCTCCTCATTAAATCCTACGCCTCATGAATCTCATCATTGGCTTTGCAGGTTCAGCAGGCTTCTCGGCGGGCTTCTCGGTCTCCGCTGGCTTTTCGGCGGGCTTTTCCTCAGGCTTTTCCTCAGGCTTCTCAGCGGGCTTCCCAGCTGCGGGAGCCTCATGTACGGGAGGAGTCGCCGGCGCTTGGTGAGCGGGAGGGGCAGCCGGTGTCTCGGCCGGAGGGTGGGCGGGCATGGCCTCGGCTGGGGGAGCAACGTGAGCCGGGGGCATCTGGTGAGCCGGCGGCGCAGATGGCGCGGGATGTGCCGCTGCGGGAGGAGTGTGCTGGGCCGGAGGGGCCATGGTGTGCACCGCCGGTGGCGGGGTATGCTGCACCGGGGGAGGTGCCATAGTATGTGCCGGCGGCGCGGCTTCATGAGCGGGGGGCGGCATGGGGTGGGCCGCCGGAGGAGGGGAGGCAAGGTGGCCGGCTGAGGCTGTCACGGTTGTCGCGCAGTGGCTGATTACTTGCGTGACGTGGACAACCTGGTGAACGGTGTGCGGCGGGAGCGTCACGGTCTCCTTGACCTCGTGAGGAGGCAGGGTGACGTGCACTGTTTCCTTGACGACGTGGGGAGGAAGAGTTACGTGGACGGTTTCCTTGACCACATGGGGAGGAAGGGTGACGTGTACCGTCTCGGTCTCCTTTACCACGTGAGGAGGGAGAGTGACGGTTTGGACTGCGTGCTGAGTCTGGACGACTGTGGCGACGTGGGTGATGATCTTCTCGATTGGGAGCTCCTTGGTCACGACCTGGGTAACGTGAACCGGCAGCTCCTTGGTGACTTCGTGGGTCACGGGAGGAGCGGGAGGAGCAGAGACAACTCGCTCGGAGGTAACAACTTGGGGGGGCAGAGTGACGTGGACTGTCTCGGTGACCGCGTGGGTGATTGTATGGACGAGAGGAGGAGCGGTCTGGACGACGGTGTGGACCAGAGGAGGAGCAGTCTCGACAACTGTGTGGACGACGGGCGGAGCAGTTTGCACTACCGTGTGAACAACGGGTGGCAAAGTGTGGGTGATGATCTTTTCCACGGGAACCTCCTTCGTGATTTCGTGAGTGACGGGAGGCGCGGAGACAACCCGTTCGGAGGTGACGACTTGAGGGGGTAGGGTAATGTGGAGGGTCTCAGTGGCCACCTGGGTGATTGTGTGGACGAGAGGAGGTGCGGTTTGAACCACCGTGTGAACGACAGGCGGCAGAGTCTGGACGACGGTGGTCACATGCGTGATAATCTTCTCAACAGGAACCTCCTTGGTAACATGTTGAGTGACGGGAGGCGCAGAGACGATGCGCTCGGAAGTGACGGTGTGAACAATGGGAGGCGCCGTTTGGACAACCGTGTGGATGGCGGTTTCGGTCTGTGTGATGTGTACCGGCACCGTGACTTTTACTTCCTCCTTCTTGGTCTCGACAACGGTATGGACAACGGGAGGCGCAGTCTGGACAACAGTGTGTACCGCCGTTTCGGTTTGGGTGATGTGAACTGGAACCGTCTGCGTGACGTGTACTGGGACCGTGACCTTGACCTCTTCCTTCTTCGTCTCGACCACGGTGTGGACCACTGGCGGAGCGGTCTGAACGACGGTATAAATGGCTGTCTTAACCTCCGTCTTCGTGATATGTACTGGGACTGTCTGTGTGACGTGTACCGGAACAGTGACCTTGACCTCCTCCTTCTTGGTGATCGTCTCCTTGACTACCTGCGGAGGAGCGGTGATAGTGACGTGCTTCACCTCAGTTTTGACCTCGTGCTTGACTTCGGTCTTCGTCTCGGGCGGTGCTGTGACGGTTACATGCTTGACTTCCGTCTTGATTTCGTGTTTGACTTCCGTCTGGGTCAGGTGCTTGACCTCGGTCTTGACTTCATGTATTGTGGTAGGGACTGTGACATGAACAACTTCCTTCTCTCCCGGCACCGTGACTTGTACGGTCTCCGTCTTGACCTCGTGGACTGTTGTCGGTACATGAACTGTGTGTACGATGGTCTCGGTCTTGGGCTCGCACTGAGCAGGTGCTGCTGCTGGGGGATTCGGGGCAGCCACCGCCACTGAGGCGAGCCATGAGAGGATTGCGTATCTTGAAAGTAACATGATTTTCGAGTCGGTATATGGGTGTAGATATCGTGTACTTGCGAGTCCGGACGTCGAAAAGTAAGGAAAACCACAAAAAGGAATAAAGGAATGTACGAGGCTCGCCTCTGAACGGGGTCGAGATACCGGTCTCTGAGTTTGTTGAATGAAACGAAGTAAACAAAAAGCCGCAGCGAGCTGGCGATGGGCTAGCTGCGTGGAAGAAACGAATGAAAGAGAGCGCGCGTGCGGATGAAGTGAAGGGGGACAGACCTGCTGATCACTACATCTCTGCAAAGGAGGGGAGCCAAGTCATTATATCAGACGGGGCCTGGTCATCGCGAGCCTTGGCTGCTGGGTTGGGATGGGTCTTGCCAATGCACATCGTCCGCAACAACCGGTGCACGGAAGATCGGATGCGCGCGGGCGATAGCAGGGCAGGAGGTGTGGTGGCTTTTCCTGATCATGGCCTGGGCATGGGAGTGCCGGAGGGTGGTGTGAAGGTGATGGAGACGTGGTGTTGTCGTCACATTCCTGGGGAGCCGGGGGCCGGGGGTAACAAGGCATGAGCGAGTCCTCAGACATGATGTTGAGCATTGGGCTAGATCATGATGGAGGCTGAAGCCGTGTTAGATGCGGTGAGGGCCTGTAGACGAGAGACAGCGGTACTGGGTGCACTAGCAGGTTTCCAGCGTGGCTGTAACCGTGCCAAGATGGGATCGCAAGTCTCGCTGCCATCTGAAAAGTGACGGGACGGTTTCCGAGGGAAGGGATGAAAGACCAGGGTCTGTCTGTTTTGGCTTTGCGGCTCTGGCAGGGGAGTTTAGCCAGGGCTGAAGGTCGAGGGCAGAATCTGTCGGGCCACGGGCAGAACTCGAGGCTTAGCCTTGGTGCTCGGGATCTTCAGGGGTTGTTTGCCATGTCGGACAAGCAACGGCCCCTCGAAATCAGAAGAGGAAATCCGGAATCGAGTGAAGCCGTGGAAGACGCGAGCTCAGCTCTGGCTGGGCCTCCAACATGAAACTGGATGTTGTTGACTGGTTGCACCTCGCCTGTCTTCCCCTGGTTGGGTGTGGTGATCATGGGAAAATCTCTGCGATCATGATCTTGGCCGTCGTGCCGCGGGATGAGATAGTGGCAATGCCATGCCTTGGTGCCAATCCTGACTTCGTCTTTGGTAAAGCCCTCCATCATTACCCAGGTCTGAGGAACTCTTCGCGACTTCATGCTTTCTTGGGGGAAACTTAGCCACGACAAGTGATGTCCAACACCTCAATACAGAACCTCTCTGTCGCCCCAAAAGAGCTGATAACATCGCATGAAGTCGTCCCCGTTTGTTTCTCTCTACACAGCGCCTCAAACCCCCACCGGCACCTGACACATGTCAGCAGCCAGGTGGTACCCGAAGCGGCCCAGCGAACATGATCTCTCGCTGCGACCCTCAGACTTTCAGAGGGACCAGACGAACGTGGCGGCGGCCAGGGGTGGCTCCGGGGCACAGGGCCACAGCGCCGGGATTCAAGCTGTTAGTGCGTGTGAAGAGCCTGCAGCTTCTCCGTCCTGGGTCATCCGAAACCCCTGCCAAGATCTGCCAAGATTAAGCCCTTGCAAGAGCCCACCTGGACAGGCATGCTTAAGACGAAAAACGAGGAGGTACGAAACGGAATCAGCTCAGTTTCCACATTACGAGCAGTCTAGCAGGGCGAAGGAAGGGGGCTCAGAGCGGTTCCGAGGTTTCGGGGAGCTCGTCAGAGAGGGCATTGGGGGGCTAGGTATTGGGGCAGATGCGGGTGGTGGATGGTGGATGAGGAGGAGAACCTAGGGGCTAGAGGAGCCGTTAGACACGCTGAAAGGGCGCCAGCAAGGTTAGGGTTAAGCATTAAGGTTATTTCGTTAGGGTCACTCTACAGCGACCTCGTTGCCTGTCACTGACCTCATCCAAGGCCCGTCCTCCCACCCCTGGCAAGGGTCCCCGCTGCTGGTCGGATTCACTGTGACCCGGGCCCCTGATATGGGCCGGGCAGGGGTCGCTTCAGTGGGAATCTTGTTTCCTCATGGCCAATTGCACGTCTTCGCAATATCATGACAGCTGGAATGGGCAAAAATGCGACCATGAATGCTTCCCGATCCATGCGTTGCGCTGCTTGATCATAAAAACCTAGCGAGCCCCTCGCTTTTGCACGAAACCGGGATGCTCCTGCGCCCCGACTGCGCGAGTCATCTATGCGTCCCCCGACATGACACTCAGCTTCATCAGCTCTCTGATACAAAAGGGACCACGAGCCCTGCTGCACTGCATTCTAAGTCTTGATAGACCTCTCTCACCAAGTGGTGCTCAGAGTGGATGGCCGCCAGTGATTGCATTGTTCGCCGGTTCTCTCGCAGTAATGACAAATCTGATGGAAACCAGTACTCATCTCGCCGAACAGTGGAGGCTCTCTTCTCCTGCTCGCCGAATTTCACATCTCCGGTGATCAGTTCGCTTGTCCCTCCATTACGTATCTCATTCACACTGCAGACGCTGAGGTGTTTGACAATACGGACTGGAGGCATGCATACAGTCTGCCTTGACAGACGAGAAAGAATCCGTGAACTTGAATGCCTTATTTTGGACTGTAAACAGCATCTCATGAGCCGCACAAAAGGTAAAAATGATATGGTGCATGCTTGAAGTCTTGTGATCAAGGTGTTGTGACTGCATGCCAGAATGCAATATTATGCATCGCCAAGAGCATGGATAAAAGATCTCTAGGGCCATTGACGAGCAATTGGCAACGTCTTCCGTCTTTTGATCAAGGCGACAGTGAAACAGAACGGTCCACCTCCCTCTTCCTGTCTTCCCATCTCGAACATTGCCCCCAGCCATAGCCCCTTCGCTCCCGGCTGGGCATTTCTTGGATTAGTGATTCGAGCGTACGCATCTCTGAGCCAGCACTCTCGGTGCTCCAGGGCTCAACGTGATGCAATACTTAAAGAAAATAAAAATGCCTTGCGGTGTAGGGTTCTTGAATTTCGTCCGCAGCCTTACGGATCGGGTGGGATGGACTTGGTGCGGGGAAGACATTCCGTATTACTGATCCAGCCTTTCCCGACGGTGGAGGTATGAACCCCAGGGCAGTGTTCACGTAAACTACGTTGGCTTGTCGTTTGCTCAACATTTCAAGTCACAAAAGCACAATGAATGGTATCCTAGCAGAATTAATTTCATGTGATGAGAAATTCACAGCTAAGTCGCGTCGCTTGATCGAACATGCACAGGTTTCCCCGCACGGAGGTGATTCTTCACCGAATTTTGGATTATTCAACTTGTCCGAATCCCACTTGAGGCATCATATCATAGCACGCAGTGACTTTCTTGTAAATCTTAGAACCTCGGCCTATCGAGTGTGTCGATTAGACTTTCGTCGAGTCGGCTGCAGTGTTCATAGATAAAAAGAAGCGAATGAATCCTCCTGTGCCTTTTGCACCAACAAGCCCTCGACAACTGGGTTTGCAAAGCAGCTGTGTAATTCATACAAACGTTACCTTGTGGAATCAACTGAAAATGGCCGAATTAAGAGCGGCAGTCTACGTCGCACCTCCTATCTCCGCCAAAGTCCCTGGCCGTGATACTACAATCTTCTGGTCCCCAATTTCTTGTACCCTCGTCTATTCTGCCAGAGAAGCCGTCCTCATCGACACCCCGATCACGATCAAGCAGACAGAGGAACTCATTGCATGGATTGAGAAGATCGCGCCCAATAGGAAACTCTCCTATGCATACTTTACCCACGGGCACATAGACCACTGGGCAGGACTCCCTCTCCTCTTGAAACGCTTTCCCGAGGTTGTGCCGCTCGCGACCGTCGGCACCATCAAGCACATGGAACAGGAGATCGAAGAAGGCTACTTCAATCAAGTCTGGGAGTCAAGCTTTCCCGGCCAGATCTACAAACCGTTCGCCCTGCCGCAGGCCTTGCACAACCACATGTTCAAACTCGAAGACCGCTGGGAGTTTCATGCGATTGAGTGCGGACACAGCGACACGTACGCTTCAACTGTGCTTTGGCAACCAAACCTCAAGCTCGTTGCGTGTGGGGACGTTATCTACGGACAGGTGCACCAGATGCTGTACGAGGCCAACACCAAGACCAAGCGTGAAGAATGGATCAGAGCGGTCGAGAAAGTCGAGGCTCTAGACCCGGTGTATGTCATCCCAGGACATCGACAGGCTGAGGAGATTGATGGAGTTTGGCACCTTCCTGCGACGAAGAAGTACATTCAGGATTTTGGGGAAATTGTTGAAAAGGGGCCCAAGGATGCGAAAGAGGTGTTTAAGCAAGTGATGAAGTTGTATGCCGACCGGTACAACCCTGGAGCGGTGCAGCTCAGCGCAGCTGGAGTATTCATGCCTCCGAACACCAAAGAATCTCGCATTTAATCTGGTGTTGCAGATGGTTCCTGGAATGGACTTGCTCATTTGTTGCGTGTTGTTTGGATCAATCCTTTTTTCTGTCACGTCGCCAGAGACGCAGCCGATTCGCAATATTCAAGATAACACCTATGCGTTATCAAAAGTCTTAAAAGTGACACCACTGAATATTTGCTATGCCTGCTGTACCATGCAGCTCGTATGTCACCAGGGGTTAGAAAACAACACATTAGGCGTTGCAATTGGCTATTATCTGTCTTACGTGACATGCCCTCGTATTCGCACTTATGCTACAGCTTCAAACTCGGTTACGTCAATGTGCAAAATACCCCAGGCTGTTCCAGCCCCATGGGCCTATCATCACCTCTGATTGAAGCACTCACCTACGCCATGTTTGTCAGCCTGCATATATAATAGTGGAAGTATCGTAGCCAATCCTCTAGGAGATAGCAGACAGACGCGGTACAAATAAAAGCCCTATCTCGCCTCGACCCATATTTTACAGGTCAGCCGCAATCTATACACATCGCAACTATAACATCCCCAACGATGAAATTAATCCATATTGAAAATCTCGATATTCAAGAGTTCCTTTCTTTCTTCCCTTCTAACTTTTTTCTTTGTAGTTTGCCGCTTAGAAGCGTACTTTATTGTTACGACCCGTTGTGCATGGATAACAGTTGACCGACCCACTTGGGCGTCGGGCGGCTAGGACAGGACATTTGTACTCTGCAGGATCACAGGAACAACAGGGACTCACTTGGAAACAGAAGAACTATGATACAAGTCACGTGATAATAATATAAGGACACAGTTAGTGGAGCGCATAAGGAAACGCTCAATGATCAGTTAGTCAGACTAACTGATTGTAATCACCTCATATACCTAGGTGATCACCCTAGGTAGATAAAGGATACTGTTTAGGACTAGTATATAGTATAACCTAAGCCTAGCTTATAGTCAGACTTCTATAGCTCTTCAGCAATCAACTTAGTATTCATCCTCATGGATACTCTCAGCTTACCTTCACTGCGAATTACTTGTTGAGTCTAAGACTGATCACCTTAGCCTCTGAAGACCTAATCTACTGCAGCCTACGAACTACAACCTACGACCACGACCCAGTGTACTGTTAGAACGTATCAATCCCCAGCTTCTGTTAGCAGACCCTACTGTCGGATAGCTGACCGTAACAAGGAGCTCATTGCTCCCACCGATTTGGTATTTTTCGACAAGGAATGGCACCGCATCGAAACGAAAGTCAACTTGGCTTCCCGAATTTATACCACGACGAAAATCGATGAGATAACTCTCATATCGGGAGACTGGTCAGGTGCTAGCATTGCACGAAGGATGTCCTGGGCCTCTACGCGAGAAACGACACGGCTGGAAGACATCGCCTATTGTCTTCTCGGCCTATTCAACGTGCATATGCCCCTCCTTTACGGAGAAGGCTCAAGGGCGTTTATCCGTCTACAAGAGGAGATTCTCAGACAAAGCGACGATTATTCTCTCTTTGCATGGGACGCTTCCCAGGCAGAGGAAAACATCGCCCATATTGGCGTTCTCGCTACCCATCCTAAGTTCTTCAAAGACTCAGGCAGCATCGAAGCCTACCCAGTCGCTGGTCCTATATCCATATCGAACCTAGGAATCCACGCTCGACTGTCTTTCAAAAAGAACGCTACGGGCCAAACTCTGGTACATCTGCCATGCGGCTTTGCAGGAGACGTCGACTCTGTTGTTGTGCTTGGTCTGAATCTCTTTCAAGCAGAGCCTGTCATACTCAGCAGAGCCAGGTCAAAATTTCGGGTTTCGTCTACCAGCGAAATACTTCGCCCCGAGCACCATAGCGAGTTGTATCTCCTCAGAACAAGTCGGGCAGTCCAGAGCATGGTCAGCAAATGTTGTCTCACATACTCGTATATCCGCAAAGACTACGATCGGTTTATACCGGTTCGATTGTATCCGCGTCAGATGTGGGCATCCAACGAGTCCACGAGATCAATGACTCTCACCTTACCGGCCGATGGTGATAGGATGTTCAAGGCTGCTGCAGTGTTTTGGTGTGCTGCTTTTGAGGGGTGTTTTGCCGTCATTTTAACGCTGAGGTGTAATCAAATGCAGGGCAACGTACAACTTGTGGAAGGTGCCGACGGAATGTTGCCTGGCAGGCTCGAGGAAGTGATTGAGTCTCTGCCGGCGCCGGAGAAATCGAATCATTCGCGATTGGACTCAGGTATCATGGCCACTATCAATATCAAAATCATTCGCGGTGTTCGTATGTTCGCGGTGGTTGTCACGCAGTTGGAGTCTTTTCCCCCGGAGCAACAGCAAAAGTCGAAACAACCGGAATCTCAAAATTCCCATGGATTCTCCCTACCATTCTTCAAGAAGAAAAAGGAAGCCTCATAGTTGGACTATGAGAATGAGAATACACTTCTACTTCAAGTTGCTAGTATCACATGCTTGGTGTCAACGTACTTGCATAAAAATACAAAAACCCTGATAGACAAGAATATCAAGTAGTTTACAGAGTAGACAGTACTAAATTCTTGCAGACTGGATGATATGCTTTTCCAGAACTTTTTACTAATAGAAAGTTTTGAACTCGATTTACATTTGCGTACCGCAATGGGGTTGTAATAACTCGCATTGAGCAAGCGTTAACATTAAGAAACAACATTAAGAACAAACAACAATTAAGGTCGCTCAAAGCGAATCAGTTCCACCGCCCATGCAGTCAAGCCTAGTCAACGGACATGACGATCACTCAAAGGCCCACACAAGCGTAGGTATTGGCCCATAGACCGGTGCAGCTAGCCCCAGCAGCGGGGTTCCACTTGATGAAGTTGGCAACGGTGATTCCATACTGCTTCGAGATGGAGTCACAATTCTGGCCGCTCTGGACGAAATGGAACTTCTTGCAGTTGGAAACCATGCCGTCTTGAATAGGCTGAGGCGTGGTGTTGGCCGGAGGCGGCGTCGTACCTGAGCCACCAGAAACGCCGGTGCAGAGATAGTAACCTGCCCACATACCAGTACAAGCGGTGCCGCCAATGCCCTTATTCCAAGCCGCAAGCTGAGCAACGGTAACACCCACGGACGAGGCAATGGTACTGCAAGTATCGCCCGCCTTGACGAGATGCCAACGGTTGCAGTTGTCAACCATGCCGTCCTGGATGGGCTGCGGCGTGGGGTTGGGCGTGGCTGTTGGAGAGGGCTGGGTGGGCGATCCGCCGATGATGCCGGTGCAGACGTAGTATTCAGCCCAGATTCCAGTGCAGGCAGCGCCACCGATTTGCGTATTCCAGGCTACGAGCTGAGCGATGGTGACGCCGTTCTTGGAAGCGATGGTGGTGCAGGTGTCGTCGGCCACCACCTTGTAGAAGCGGTTGCAGTTGTCTACCATGCCTGGCTGATCCGGATCAGGAGTTGTGACACCGTTAGCTGGTGTAGTGGGCGATGGAGTGGTCGCCGGCGCCGTCGAGGTCGTAGTCGTCGGTGTCGGAGGAGTTGGCGGCTCCGGAAAGCCGGAAGCAGACTCAATGCAATACGAGTAGTCCGCTTCCAGTCCTCGCACGTCTTGACGGACGGATTCTGCCATGATAGTCAGTTTAGTGCCAAGTTTGGTATAGTCATGTCGGAAGTTTCAGTCAAGCTCACCAGTGCTGTCAGTTGTGCAGCAGAGATCCCCGCAATGATCAGGACCGTGTCGCAGCTGAGGCCGTCATCAGAGTTCCACCACAGAGTGCAGTCGCTGGGTGTGTTGGAGTCGTGGTCGTAGAAGGGCACCGAGCTATCGAAACGGCGGGGAGCCAGTTTGTCGACGCGCTTCACACTGATGGCGGTGCCTTGGGCGACAAGAAGGCCAACGGCGGCGAGGACTGACAGACGAGGCATCTTGTAGCACAGCGTCCTGTTTCCAGTAATATTCCTGTCAACTACGCATATGAGAAAAAATTCAGGAGGAGACGATGTTGCCGAACGCTCTAATGGCTCTTCTTGTACCCAGACACGCCTTCGTCTTGACAGCACGACAATGAGTATGTCCGCTGGCGACAATTTAACCACACCCGTGTTAGACTGTCTTTTGAGGACGTTGGATGAGATTTCGTTTACAATTTGGTACACGTAATAGCCTCAAGCCAAGATTTGCGCGAATTTGATTCTTGTCATCGGGTCAAAAACATCCTGGCTGTCTGTGTCTCGATGAGTCGATCTCAACAACTCAGCACATCCAAGCTTCCTAATTAGGTCTATCCGTCGTCGGTTGCGCGCTTTCAAAATGACCATGCATCTATAACAAGAAGCAGCGCCACGAACTTGCAGAGGCTGCCTAGAGCTCCTCGTGATGGAAAAAGGAGGCCCCTCATCGGTTATCCGGGACTACCCACTGGCGTAAGTGGCACAGTTGACATGGCTAGAAGGAAGGACCAAGGAAGGCTAGAACTCTTATTTCATGGTCTGCGAGATCAAAATCATGCTACATCGATTGTGGATGACTTTCCCCGTGATTCATTATTATACATATGTCAGACTGGATCCTGCTGTGCATCATAACATGGTAGCTTGCCACCTCGGATAAGAAAGCCCACCAATAGCCGACCATAAAGCTCATACCAAAACTGTAGAATCTGCAATGTCTCATGGCAAGTTGGGACCTGCTTTCGAGCGGCAGAGCTTTCGGGATCCCTGCATGATCTGTACGGTCATTTGGTCATAAAAGTAAGGTCAGGTACCCGCGCTCTGCATGTTAAGCTCTTAGGGCCGAACCCAGCCGGTCATTATTGCCGAGTTCCGTCACCAAGACCAGGACGCCACTCGAACGTTTCCTTTCTTGATGGGGTGGTGGGGGACCCCGGAAAGGAGAGTATGCTTAACGGCTAATGTGGAGGTGGAGCATGGGTAGGGCAGAGAATCAAATCAAGTGTATGTTGGAACCACTTGGCACACCTTGGCACTGCAGTACATATCCGAGGAGGCTTTTCCATTCAGGAAGTTACACTGCGCCGCAAGCACCCACGCTCACCTGAGCACTGGAGCGCGAAATATTCATGAACCAAGCCTTTCAGGCTGATAATCTGCATGCTAATGTTGACGCTAATTTCAGACGCCGATACGAAGATAGTACATGTAGAATATGATCGGATGTCTTTCTAGGTGAGGTTTGAAGACTCCCGCAGCAACCACAAAACAGTGTTGTTGAATTCGTGTTGCTATGTATGGTGACGACTCAAAGAAAGTTGACTGCGGCTAATACGAGCGGAAGTAGGGCCCAGCCAACCACAAAGCCTGAGGCACATCCCTTGCTCTCCTTCCGTGGGCATGGCGCAGTGATTGTCTGCCACTCGCCCTCCTCGCATCTCATTCCCCTGAGCATCGCGGCAGACACGTTCGCCGCGATCTCCTTAGCAGCTGACTTGAATGCGCACTTCGGATTCACATCTGTCTCGAAAACCGGGCATGGCTTGTCGTAAGAGTATGTCTTTCTGAAGTCGGTGATACGCACTGCAACCGAGGTGTTCTTGTCGGACTCATCGCATGAATTGACGGCAGCTTCGATATCAGGACGCTGCGCACCGTGTGCTGTTTGAAAGAAAATTCCACGTGAGGCGTGCCCGGGCCCGTTTGACCACCCGGACTCCGTGTCGTTCTTGGCAAAGCATCGGTATGGGAGTTTGACCTCCCATAGAAGTTTGAACGAGTCTGCTGTTCCGTTGGTCATGTTGACCGACTCAATGTGAAGATACTGTCTAGGTGGAGAATCTCCGACGATATTGTCAAGCCAATCGCTAGGAAACCCAACCCATCGCGATTTCCAATCGGGTCTGCTCTCATTGAAGTCGTCGCCGATGGACGTCACGCTCACGTCGAGACCAATGTTCAGAGGCCAAACAGCGTGAAGATTATTGAAACCGAAGACGATGGGAAGTAGCTGCGTCGGCGCGTACGTCTCGTTGTCGCGCGGGAAAATGAGGTCGACTTCTACCTCGGCAGGCAGCTGTCGTACAGCGTTCACAACGCTGGCTGCGAGGAAAAATTTCACAGTTGAGCGAACAAAGCTGAGATTTCTCATTTTCGTGGTGGTTTCGTTGTGGATGGTGAGGTAGAGATGGCGGATCGTGGTGAAGGGAATTTGGACAGATGGAAGGGGCAGAAGAGGTGACCGTAGTAAGAACCTACGTTTGCATTTGCGTGACTGAGATGAAGCCAAGCCTCAGGTCAGGCTACGGAACAGCAGCCAAGACTTTCCGCTCCGCGGGCCGCAACCCCGAATGGAGGAGTGGTACTCTCTTGTGGCCTGTTCGCTAATACGGGAGAGCGGAAATGAGCCAACCTTTTGAGCAAACGAATGCATTGTTTAAGCGGTTCCTCATCAGTCCTCGCTTCTTTTGCGGCCTTCTTATTTGAGCAACATAAGTCATGAGTTGTGAAGTCAAGGCCATAAACCTTGCTCTCTTTTCAAAGCCCCCAACAATTAATTTACACATGGTTCGGCCATTTCAGCCGAGGGATCGACCCAGGACAATATCTTCGTCTGGTCCGTCATTCCAACAACATCCAACAAGTTAGCTCCTTCCTCGGCGAGCAGTTACCACATCCAGCAACTGTGCCATGTTAATGCAGATGAGCTGGAGAAGACCGCAGTGGCGACGGCCTCAAAGTATCAGCGGGGAACTGGGCGCAGGGTCGGCCTTCCGAAATTGAAATTTGTTGTGTAAGTTGATGCAGAGCAATAATCCAAACCCCGCCTCACGCCCTCCCGACGCAAGGGAGCTGTGATAGATGATCAGCGACTGGGAGATGTTGGTATTATCGATGGTTGGCCAGGCCTCTTTGCCGTGATTGGCTAGACTCCTATATAAGAACAGCAGCGACTGGGGTTATTGACAGCACCTCTACTTGCTGCGGCCCCTTACCAGTCTTTCTCTGACATTATTTGTCTGTTCATTCACTCTTTGACCCTTCTCTCGCCGATAAACGCTACCTTGGTCTTGCATGATGGGCCGACGCTACTTCCTCCCCTTATTGGGGTTGGCGGGCTTGATTCCTCGTTCCATAAATGCCTTGGCTCCGCTCAGAGACCTATGCCCAGTGACCTGTCTCGAGGCTGGGTCGGATCCGTCAAACTGGACCGTCGTTGCTGAGTTTAACCAACTTGAGGCATGCCAGAGGCCGATGGTGCTAGACTTTTCGGTCAACATACCTGTGACCGACAAGCAGCAGATTCGGGTCTGTAATGTTTTCGTCAACGACTTCGATTACCACAGCGCCTCAGCTTTGTCTTCTCCCAAGAATGAGACCGTCACCAGGCAAGTTATTCCTGAATTGGCATGGACACCTGCCACATCTGGCAACGAGATTGGTGGCAGACTCGTGACACAGAGCGTGGAGCACTTGAGACGTGACCCCGCAAACAGCCGCCAAACCAATGATCGCATCATGTTATTTGGCACAGTGTCCGGCACCACTGCTGGCGTCTACGTCGGTGCCGACCTGGTGGGATCTAGCGTCGCAGGACATCTCTTTGACTCCTTCCTGAACAATCTCTACGTCACTGGCATCGCCGATTCCAAGTCTTCTCTCGTCCAGGTGTGCGATGACCTCACCGGCAACGACATCTTAGCAGTGCACGATACGACCGGTCGCCATCCCATCGGACTTTACCCCCACTGAAAGATGGGAAGCCCTTGGGGCCCAGGATGCCTGGACTGACGCAGTCCGCGTATGGTTTTCATGCTATAAGAAGAAGGGGGTACTCAGCTTCCATCAAGCTGTCGCTGAATTTCTCCATTTCGACTCTGATGTTGTAAGGAGTGACAGGATCTTGTTGCGTAGCGGAAAGTCTTTGGGCTAATGTTTTTTTCGCAGGGTTGCGACGATCTGGCGGCTGCGACTAACTGCGAAAGCTCCAAGGATTGTGTCACACACAACAGCGCCAATGATGAGCCTGAGTTGCACACGGGGGCCGCAAGCTACGAAGTCTGGAATTCGATAGCTTCGCTCCACCGGCTAAGTTGATTTGGAAGGGTCCGAGCGTTCGCAAGAATTATGCTATACCATTCGCGCCAGGTTGAATGCTGACGAGTCTTGCTTTGAAGATGATCAAGAACTACTACAATGCCCTCATCAATGCCGGAAACGATTTAAAAGGCGACCATGAAAACTTCATCGCCACCTTTGCCCCAAAAAGGGACGATGGAACGGACCTTTTCAACCTCCTGTTGACGTTGATTCCTATCCCTATCAACACAGCAGCAGCACGTTTCTTTGGAGGAGGTAATTTGAGCTGTCGCTCCATTTTCAAATAAGTTTGTCTCTGGAGCTTTTGCTGATAATCTGACAGCCTTCATGACAAAGGTTTTCTTCCAGAGTCCTGGCAAAGCAAATGCATGGGAGGCGGCAACTTCCAATATTGTGAATGCCGGTGCCTCGATTGCCAAGGACGCACTGAGTAAGGCCTCGGACGACCGAGCTGAGGTATCGTTCAATGCAATCTACGACACAATCATCACAAGCTGGAAATCGCAGACGAACCAGTTACTCAAGACGCTCTTCCTCGGAGAAGAAAACAACATCAGGATTCTTACTGATCTCATCTCGGAAGGCAAGATGATCAAGGGAGGACAGACCAGTAGAAGGCGAGCAGAGGAGTACGACGGATATACAGCAAGCTGGAAACAGGAGAAAAACATTGAGCGGGCCTTCTATGCGGCCGCCATCCCCGCCGCCTGGACCGCCAACCGTCCCGCGCCCGTTGTCGTCGATTTTGGCAATAGCTGTGAGATCGATGCGCGCGATTACTTCACTGAGGAGCCAAAGCAGTACAACGTCGGTTGGGGATGTCCCAATGGACACTCATACATCCTAGCGGGTGTACGAGACGGCCCGCAAGGCTCATGCGGCCCGAGCTATCCAGGGGATGGCGGCGGGTGCAACCCGACCCACAAATGGACTCTCGACATACTGGATGGCATCGGCCAACTTCAGGATGGCGACTTGGACAAGTGGGGAGGCGTCACAGTGGACGACCTCATTATTGGGTGAGTTCCAGCCTAGAGTAGTAGAGCCTTCACTGATGGAGTCGGCCTCTACGACGCCGGCCTACCCATACACTTATAGAGCAAGACTGACTCTGACAGTGCGGTCAATACGTTTGAGAAGAACGGCAGAAAGAACGTGATGGATGCTACAGTGGGGGCGCCGGACATCAAAGACAAGTCCGTCGCCGACGAATACAAAGGCTCAAGGATGGATATTCGCAGGGGCGGCCTCATCCGCATCCCGGTCTGCAGTGCGGAGGAGGCGACCGCGAACCTAAACAAGGGCCGTCAGTACTATGGAGATTCGCCCAACTACCCCTGCAACCCATGATGGCAGCTTGCCCTCACAAATACTCACAACAACCGCATGAGGCAAAGGCTCGTTACTTTGACGGAATGACAGGGTTGGGTGTAGCAAGTAGCAACGGGAGCAATTAGAGCTTCTCATAGTAGGACGTGTCTTCATCTCTTTTAGCATTCATGTACATACTTTACCTAACAGGCTTCTCTAAGTAAGATCACACGACTCAACCTCTGACTCAAGTACCGTTCGCCGGCTGATGCCATTCCTCGCCATTGATAGTGGTTGTCAAGGTTCCATTAGCGTCGAAAATGTTGGTCATAATATCAATCGAAAGATGAAATCCGTCCGGGCTAGTCTTCTTGGTGCCATTGTTAGGCCCTGTCTGAATGAGATCGGAAAACCAGTCCACCTGCTCCAGCGTTGGTGTCGGATTCCTTGCCGTGACCTTCTCGGTTCCAACTAGTACGTTGATACCATCGTCAGAAAAGTCATGGTACTCTACTGTCACAGATTCTGGCAAAGTCCCATCGCTCTTTGGCGTGATAGTGATGTTCGCCCAACCTCCGGCCTTGCCCTTGAGTGTGAAGGTCCCATTCAGCGGCAACGGTCTTGCAGGCGGAGGGTTGCCAGGGACGTATGGTGTGGCCCACGGGATGGTGTCGGGCAAGTATTCCACTGGCGTCCGACTTTGAGGCTTGCGGCTAGTGAGATGTGCCAGCATCATTCGCTCAGTTCGGCCTCCCGGGGCAGTGGATTCATAGCATGGAAGAGGGTTCGTGCCACCACAGTCCGGAGATGTGGTAAGGGCTTGCCAGTAGACAACACGAGTGCCATCATTGGACCATCTCGGGTCGGCGCGGCCGTTCCATTCCGGATCGTTGATGGCGCCACCGCCAGGAATACCGTCTCCTTCTGCGTTGAGCTTCTGGCCAAAGTATGATCCCCGATCCCCAAAGCCATCGATAAGCCAAGGCTGAAAGAAGCGACGCTGGCCGTTGTTTCTGGTTGAAGATGTGGCGCTACTGCTCACCAGGTCCGTCAGAGGTGGTATGCCCCGAAGCCCGGCCATGAACATCTGCCTACCAGTGCCGCGTGTGTCCATGGCGACAGTCCACTTGTCGTCCGGGGATATATCGACAGGGTCGGTATACTCGGGGTGAGCTGTAAGCCTCCGAACCTTTCCGGTGGTGAAGTCGGCGGCCATCACGTCAATGTTAGACGACTCAATAGGATAGCCAATGAATGTGACCTCCTTGCCAGTCCCGCTGAATCCGCGAAGCTCGCCGACAACAATAGCTTCAGGGTTAATCCGAAGCTGGGTGCTATCCTCGGGGTCGATCTCGATGGGTTGTGGCTCATTGACGTTGAAGAGAACGTTGACGTTCGTGAGATCATAACGAGGTGCCAGTGGCACGCCTGTGGATGGTTTCGGGTTGAACTCGAGCCTTCCAACATACCCGTACTGGTCCACCTTGCCACTCCTGACCGTAATAGAGCTCCATCCCAAGTGCTTGTCGTCCGGATGGATGCGAAGTTCTCTGATTCTGCCGCCAATTCCAGACCCATCGGCGGCAGTATTCCATCGGATAGGGTATATGAGAACCTTATCAGGGGTACAATCCTCGCTTGTGAGATCGTCTTCGCACTCGATGATATTGGGTCCTGCAAGCAAACGCTTGCCATCGCTAAAGATTTGCGGGTAATCGAGCAGCTCGCTGCGGCCGACGA